GTTTTCAAATCAACAAAATAACTCATTATACACTCTCTCAACAGTCTGTCTTCCTAGCACCCACAACCACACTCTCCGACATAACATAACACAATCTCCAAACGAACAGATCAGTTCCTACGAATACAATACACGAACGACAGGGAGAAATCTTATCCACATAACACACATAGCAAACACCAACCGAATGCTCAACACACACACACACACTCTCTCTCTCTCTCTCTCTCTAAGCGAAAACTCAACTCACAACTCACACCACAATTATCTTATCACATTCAACCAGCATTCGTCACAGAAATATAAATATATATATATATATACATATATATACATATATAAATAGGCTTACATTGATATTGTTACACGCGGACACAAGCTATCGCACGATCATACGAACAACACTGCTCTCTACATCGCACAAAGAACATCGCGCTAGACGATCACAAACCAAACAACACAACACAACACTACACAACACAACACTCTCACCATATCCATTCGCAAACTGACTCATCAACCACACTCAGACATCGAAATGACCTACCACACAACACATTCGACCACTCATCATCACAGCAAACATCCTCTGCAATAAACATTCAAACGTCAGACGTCTCTCTATCTATCTGGATGTACGTCTCTGTGTGTGCGCACCCTTTCACAAAGGCAGACACAACAACACAGATGAACATTCATTTCGCAAGGTCATTAGTATTCCATGGAACAACAACCAGGAATGTGGAGCTCTTGCACAACAACCACCTCGACTAACAGACAAATTCAAACACTCAACAAACCAACAACTGATACACACACACACATATATATATATATATATAAATATATATAGATTTATATATATGTATATACATATATACAATCGACCTCACTCACACACCATGCCGCATCAAACCGATCACCCATATTCACCAACACCCAAAAACACACAACAACCCAACATTCATGACTGTCACCCACGTCTCCGACACACCTCATCAACATAAACCATAGTCAGTACAATCAAATAAATCCAATACACAACAAACCCCTCGTATTCCTTCACCGACAACATGTCGCAAATATACACACCTTCACACACACACAAACTCCCACTAGATGCAACAGAAACAACACCAAACATCCTTGTCACCATACACAATCAATCAATTTGTCATACAGTCATTCGTCGTTTCAGTACATTGTCACGCCTTTCTCCACTATCAAAAACAAATACCGCCAAACAAATATACATCACAACTGCCACATTTCGTTTTCAAATCAACAAAATAACTCATTATACACTCTCTCAACAGTCTGTCTTCCTAGCACCCACAACCACACTCTCCGACATAACATAACACAATCTCCAAACGAACAGATCAGTTCCTACGAATACAATACACGAACGACAGGGAGAAATCTTATCCACATAACACACATAGCAAACACCAACCGAATGCTCAACACACACACACACACACTCTCTCTCTCTCTCTCTAAGCGAAAACTCAACTCACAACTCACACCACAATTATCTTATCACATTCAACCAGCATTCGTCACAGAAATATATATATATATATATATATATATATATATATATATATATATATGTATATATAAATAGGCTTACATTGATATTGTTACACGCGGACACAAGCTATCGCACGATCATACGAACAACACTGCTCTCTACATCGCACAAAGAACATCGCGCTAGACGATCACAAACCAAACAACACAACACAACACAACACAACACAACACTCTCACCATATCCATTCGCAAACTGACTCATCAACCACACTCAGACATCGAAATGACCTACCACACAACACATTCGACCACTCATCATCACAGCAAACATCCTCTGCAATAAACATTCAAACGTCAGACGTCTCTCTATCTATCTGGATGTACGTCTCTGTGTGTGCGCACCCTTTCACAGAGGCAGACACAACAACACAGATGAACATTCATTTCGCAAGGTCATTAGTATTCCATGGAACAACAACCAGGAATGTGGAGCTCTTGCACAACAATCACCTCGACTAACAGACAAATTCAAACACTCAACAAACCAACAACTGATACACACACACATATATATATATATATATATATATATATATATATATATATGTATATACATATATACAATCGACCTCACTCACATACCATGGCGCATCAAACCGATCACCCATATTCACCAACACCCAAAAACACACAACAATCCAACATTCATGACTGTCACCCACGTCTCCGACACACCTCATCAACATAAACCATAGTCAGTACAATCAAATAAATCCAATACACAACAAACCCCTCGTATTCCTTCACCGACAACATGTCGCAAATATACACACCTTCACACACACACAAACTCCCACTAGATGCAACAGAAACAACACCAAACACAACTCCAAACATCCTTGTCACCATACACAATCAATCAATTTGTCATACAGTCATTCGTCGTTTCAGTACATTGTCACGCCTTTCTCCACTACCAAAAACAAATACCGCCAAACAAATATACATCACAACTGCCACATTTCGTTTTCAACTCAACAAAATAACTCATTATACACTCTCTCAACGGTCTGTCTTCCTAGCACCCACAACCATAACCACAACCACACTCTCCGACATAACATAACACAATCTCCAAACGAACAGATCAGTTCCTACGAATACAATACACGAACGACAGGGAGAAATCTTATCCACATAACACACATAGCAAACACCAACCGACTGCTCAACACACACACACACACTCTCTCTCTCTCTCTCTCTCAGCGAAAACTCAACTCACAACTCACACCACAATTATGTTATCACATTCAACCAGCATTCGTCACAGAAATATATATATATAGGCTTACATTGATATTGTTACACGCGGACACAAGCTATCGCACGATCATACGAACAACACTGCTCTCTACATCGCACAAAGAACATCGCGCTAGACGATCACAAACCAAACAACACAACACAACACAACACAACACAACACTCTCACCATATCCATTCGCAAACTGACTCATCAACCACACTCAGACATCGAAATGACCTACCACACAACACATTCGACCACTCATCATCACAGCAAACATCCTCTGCAATAAACATTCAAACGTCAGACGTCTCTCTATCTATCTGGATGTACGTCTCTGTGTGTGCGCACCCTTTCACAGAGGCAGACACAACAACACAGATGAACATTCATTTCGCAAGGTCATTAGTATTCCATGGAACAACAACCAGGAATGTGGAGCTCTTGCACAACAATCACCTCGACTAACAGACAAATTCAAACACTCAACAAACCAACAACTGATACACACACACACACATATATATATATATATATATATATATATATTTATATATATGTATATACATATATACAATCGACCTCACTCACACACCATGCCGCATCAAACCGATCACCCATATTCACCAACACCCAAAAACACACAACAACCCAACATTCATGACTGTCACCCACGTCTCCGACACACCTCATCAACATAAACCATAGTCAGTACAATCAAATAAATCCAATACACAACAAACCCCTCGTATTCCTTCACCGACAACATGTCGCAAATATACACACCTTCACACACACACAAACTCCCACTAGATGCAACAGAAACAACACCAAACATCCTTGTCACCATACACAATCAATCAATTTGTCATACAGTCATTCGTCGTTTCAGTACATTGTCACGCCTTTCTCCACTATCAAAAACAAATACCGCCAAACAAATATACATCACAACTGCCACATTTCGTTTTCAAATCAACAAAATAACTCATTATACACTCTCTCAACAGTCTGTCTTCCTAGCACCCACAATCACACTCTCCGACATAACATAACACAATCTCCAAACGAACAGATCAGTTCCTACGAATACAATACACGAACGACAGGGAGAAATCTTATCCACATAACACACATAGCAAACACCAACCGAATGCTCAACACACACACACACTCTCTCTCTCTCTCTCTCACTCTAAGCGAAAACTCAACTCACAACTCACACCACAATTATCTTATCACATTCAACCAGCATTCGTCACAGAAATATAAATATATATATATATACATATATATACATATATAAATAGGCTTACATTGATATTGTTACACGCGGACACAAGCTATCGCACGATCATACGAACAACACTGCTCTCTACATCGCACAAAGAACATCGCGCTAGACGACCACAAACCAAACAACACAACACAACACAACACAACACAACACTCTCACCATATCCATTCGCAAACTGACTCATCAACCACACTCAGACATCGAAATGACCTACCACACAACACATTCGACCACTCATCATCACAGCAAACATCCTCTGCAATAAACATTCAAACGTCAGACGTCTCTCTATCTATCTGGATGTACGTCTCTGTGTGTGCGCACCCTTTCACAGAGGCAGACACAACAACACATATGCACTTTCTCTGCCCATGGTGATCATTATGCTTTGGAACATCAAGTATCGTGGAATTCTTCTTCAGCAATATTCCTTTTTCTATGTTTTCTTTACATTGATGATATATGTTGTGATTAACTCTGGAAAAATTTTGTTTCGTAATCGTTTTTTCTAGCCTATGTTTTGTTGTGCGTTGTTCAGTATGTTCTGGTATTTATGACATGACATGAACGTCTAGAAACTTGTGTGATATATCCGATACTATGTTTGTTTATATTCGTGAAAGATACAGTGCCTGTGGTATTCATATGACATGTATTTACACTTAGATATCGTGGATTGTGGCCTTATGAAACGCCCCTCGCTGAAGTAATTGGTGACACGCTCATTTCTAAGACAGAAGATACAGTTACATACAGTGAACGGGCATTATTCGATGTCCAGTTTTGTGGTGTTTTATATTACAGATATAGAAAAGTGAATAATATTATTGATAATATTAAAATCACAGTTATTACCTGGTTGTTGGACTGTTCGAACTATTTCTTTTTCCTTTATATGGTAGAAAAACTCGTCTTGAGTAGATCGTTACCTGATGTGATGTATCAGTTGAACAAAAATTTTATCTTCAATACTGTACATTTTGTGGATCAAATATTTAACAAATACATAGTAAATTGCAAACTAGTGAGTTTAAGGGCAGTTATCATTTATACAGCAAAAAAATATATTTTTAGATGAACGAGAAATGAATATTACTCGGTCAAATGACTGACTCAAGCGCCGTCCAAATGTTACAAATAGATAGTATTTAATTTAAAAGGAATCTGATAAGGTGGGAGATATACATAAGTTTTCCGTGGTCGATTTCTCGATGATGGCATTTATTCGATTGACAGTTTCGAAAACGACAGTCGGTGAACACTGGTCTTGTAACATCTTTAATTTTCTAATGACCATTGCCATAGCACTATTGACGTCAATTCGCTTATCCCTCGTCGGAGCAGTTGATAGTGGTTGAAGATTATGAGATCTAAGCCACCGCGGGTATCTACAAGGTGTACCTAGATCCCGAATAAATTTTAAACCAACTTACCTGTATGCAAACCGATAGAAAAGTGGACTTTCATGAGATGTCTGCATGGTAGCAACTCAACTGAATTTAGTGAACAAGAACACACGCCATTATTTCTATCCACTCTGTAAGAATTCCCATCATCTGAACAAAATACGCAATCGTCCTCAACTTGTTCAATGGTGATGTCACTTTCGCGTACGATGTCGTTGTAGGTTTTATCAGAAGCATAATCTGTGAGTTGATTGAGAAATTCATGTAACTCTTCGTCCACATTGAACCTTTTGTGTTTGAGAAGGCGAAAAGAAGTCTCACTTTCTAAGAGGTTACAGTATTTTTTAACTTCCTTATGTAAAGCCATCAAGCAATCTTTCAGAGAGTTATTTTCTTTAAGTGCTTCTCGTATACGCGGATGAACGCATTTTACTACACCATTGACTTTCGTACCTAATGTAACAACATTCTGTAAGAACGCTGGCACCCACATTTCTTTTATAGGGATCCAATGTTGAATAACGTAATCATAAACCTTCGAATCTAACTTCTTCATATTTTGTACATCAGATTTAAATCTGAAAAGGTTTGATGAAGTTTTTATTTACTTGTTTGGACATAACGTGGATGTCAACCCAGCAAAAATTTTATTTGCAACGGGACTTTTAAACTACTTGGACGTTAAAGAAGGAGAATGTATAATACCTTTCTCTTAAAGACCTTTCTAACGTATGACGAACTCAAAACAATTCTTGAAGTTGGAAAGAATTCCTGCACCAACTCCGGTTTAGAAACTGGGCAATCTACAGCTACTGTTAGGGTTGAGCTAACATCCTTAAAAATTTCACGGAAATGCTTTAGCAAAACGCACAGATCTTCTGTTTGTTCTGTGGAATGTAATGAAAACATGATGGGTCTTGTACATAGAAGACCATCTGTTACAGCTACCTGGAAAATAGTAAATCTAAGAAGTTGGAAAGAATACTTTACACTCACCCAACGAGACAAGCGTTGTAGGTGACACTGAAACTAAGAACTTCTGGGAACCTCTTATATAACTCGATCTGCTCATAGTGTGACAAAGAGACTTGAGTAATCTCACCGTCACACTGCTCCACGAACACAATAGAATCTTTACGTATTTCATCTAGTATGTCCGAAAGTTTCTTGGAACCTTAATATAGATAATTTCATGAAGTCAATCATACCAGGGAAAACTTGATTGCGAAGTATTTTGATTTCCCAAGAAGTCAGTGGCCTAAACAATCTTGAACTAACAAAGGCTAGTATTGTTTTCATTCCGCAATCACACTCCAATAACTGCTTTAGCAGTTTCTCATCTTCTTCATTTAAACCAAGTCCAAGAAATCCCTCGGAACCCATTTTTGTATAACCGCCACGTTATGTTCAACTTTCAGACTTTGCTCAAATGCTTTAAATGGTTAAAATGGTTGTGGACGGAATAGAAGAACCTTTCGCTTAACAGGCTTCCGTGTCTAATAGCAGGGGGTCAACAAATCCTCCAGGCAGGAACCTGGGTATGTTAACAATAAAAGAGGAAAACGAAATTGGTAAATCATAGTATGATGCTGTCCTTTGTCCTTAAGAATAGGTCAAGTTGCCTCTTGAAGGACTCCTGGGAAGTCACTTGGACTAGCTCGGCCGGCAGCGAGTTCCAGCATTTGAAAACTCTTAAGGAATAGAAGTTATGTCTACATTCCGTTTTGCTATGTTTTGTCTCCAGTTTCTGGGTGTTACCCCTTAGGTTAGTGTTCGAACTAAGCTTAAGTACTTGTTTAAGAGGATGTCCAGAAGTGTTGAAAATACTATAAGCCATTAGTACATCACCTCTAAGAAGCCTGTACTCTAATGGGTAAAGGTCTAGATTTAGATTTGAGTCCTCAAACTGATTTCGTGGCTCGCCGTTGGATACTCTCCAAAGTGTCCTTATCCTTTTGCAGTGAGGAGGGAAGTACTATGTCTCCATACTCTGATTGGGGACGGATGAAACTATTGAAATTTATATGGAAAGTTCTTCCGTCGAACTGTCCAAAAATGCGCTTCAACGTTACCAGTGCAAGGTTTGCTCGGAAGGCATTTTCGTCACAGTTAGCGTAAGACTTTAAATCATGGGGCACCAGGACTCCTAAATCTTTTTCTACTTGGGATACTACTAAAGAGGAGTTTCCCAAGCTATAACTGTAGTCTGCGACATGTCGCAGATGGACTACTTTACATTCTGAAGTGTTAAAAGTAAGTTTATTACTATCTGTCCAACTTTGGAGTCGAGTCAGATCCTCCTGAAGTGCCTGTATATCGTCTTGTAAAAGTGCTTCAAGTGTTCTCTAAGATCTTAGGCTGCTCTATTGAAGATAGTTTTGAATATAAAGAGTTTGGATTTTCACGTTTATTTATCCGTAGCTGTTGAAACTAAACCACTTATTCATCCAATCAGAGGGATGGGTAGAATGAGTCCAAATGGCTTGTATTCTCGAAGGCGCGCTGACTAGCTCCCGAAAAGTTGAGATTGGTTAAGAACGAATTCGACCACATGATAGTCTTAGGAATCATCCGACCATCAAACAGCCCATGGGCATCTCCGTTGCACATAGTCCCTAAAATGGAGGGCAATGATTGGCGCCCAACTTGTGACTATCGGCGATCGAATGCAAAAACGAGTCCCGACCGTTACCTGTTTCCGCACATTCAGGATTTGACAGCTGTCTTTAAAGATATGACTCTTTTTCGAAAATCGACTTGGTTGAAGCACATAACCGAATTCCCATGGCTACTGACGATATTCCTAAAACTGTTATCATCACCCCTTTCAGAACCTACGGATGTTTGCATGCCATTTGGTCTGAGAAATGTTGCACAAACTATCCAGAGATTCGTCGATAACGTTCTTCGAGATCCTAACACAGTACATGCCTATGTTTATGACTGCTTGATAGGAAGTCCGGACAGAGAATCACATCTTCAGCATCTAGACCTTGTCTTCGAACGACCACTAAAACACAGCATTACTGTAAACATTCAGAACCGAGCACAATCAAGCAATTACGCACGTTTAACGCCTGGTAAGTCTCTTATGAGACCTTTAATCGACCAACTTCGTGGAAACGCGAAATCCATCAATTTGGACGATATCGCGAAGAATGTATTATCTACAGTTAAGGAGCTTATCGCCAAAAACAACATTGCACGTACACCTGGACACCAAAACATCCACTAGTATGTCAGTGTACGCATCCAATCGGGTATTCGGAGGAGTCATACAACAATGGGTTAACCACACCGGGCAATCTTTGTCGTTCTTTTTGAGACGGCTGCTAGACGTTGAATCGAGGTATAGCGCTTCCGGTGGGGAACTCCTAACCTTATATTGTGCTGTACGGTACATTCAACATTCTGTCGAAGGAGAGAATTTACTTTTTCACAGATGACAAACCTCTTACCTTCCCTTCAATCTCATCTTTAGTCAAGTACTCACCTCAAGAATCTCGACAACTGGACTACATTTCTCAGTTCACTTCCGATATACAACACATTTCTGGAGAAAACAACGTATTTGCAGACGCCCTGTCTCGTATAGCTTCCTTGAACAGTTTCCGAAGGATCGGACTTCTTAAACTCGCCCAGCTTCAAAAAGAAGACACTGATCTTCAGAACAAGTTATCTTCCCAAACCCTGAAACTATGTATTAAGCAGATAGGTATTTTCCAATAGAGCTGAAACACTATCGACACAACGTCTTCAATATGTTGCACAAGCTTTTTCATCCAGGTGTTCGTGCAATCATCAAGCTCATAGCAGACCGATTTTGGTATGAATAAAGACGTGAAGGAGTGGACATGCTCCTGTGTCAGCTGCCAGAAATCTAAGGTGATTAGACACAACGAATGTCCCTTAGGCTCTTTCAAAACTGCGGACGCTCGTTTCAGCCGTGTTCATCGACGTTTGGTAGAATCCTTACCAGATCCAAATTATTACTCTTATCCCTTAACCTGTGCAGATCGTTTCACTCGATGGTCAGAAGCAGTGCCCGTTAATAACATTAATGCTGAAACAGTGGTCGTCGTCTTCGTCGAACGATGGGTAGCAAACTTTGGCTGCTCTCCCACTATCACTACAGACCGTGAACGCCATTTCGAACCTAAACGTTATCGTTGTCTGGCTACACTATTAGGAATCACACGATCCCGAGCGACTGCCTACTACCCACAAACAAACGGGTCGGTAGGATTCTGTCATAGTCTAACGCTCCGCTCTCAAGAACGGAAAAAACGAAAGCATCAGCATCGATAGCCTCTAAGCCGCGTATTTAGAGGGCAACTATATTCGTGTCGACTTTTCTTCCGTACAATCAAAAGACACAAATCTCACAATTACTACACTTTACCCGATAACCAGCAATCACGACGACACTTTGATTGCATCTGATAACCGACTTGAAACAATGTGTTTAGGAAGAAGAATAAGGTTTCCAGAACACTTAATAGATTACTGCACATAAGACACTACATAACATGCTGTTTCGTCTCGATCTGTTTGTATTATTATGTTCATAGATAAAAACAAAACTTCGCCTAACGCCCCTCTGGGCTACTGCCGGTCCCAAGCTCGGATAAAGGAGGAGGGTTGGACGTGAGGTTGGCGAGCCCATCCCGTAGAAAACTAACTCGCTAAAAAACGCGAAGCAGAAGGAATAATTCAAACCATTTAAACTCTGTCCTGGGAGTTAGAAGGCCTTCATTTAAAAAAGTTATAATGCCCCATGGTGAAAGCCCAGTTTCTTCGGAAGCCATAAAGCCAATGCCCCTTTTAACAACCAGAGCAACCATTTATTTAGGTACATGGAATGCTCATACAATGTAGGAGACTGAGAGAGTCTTCCGAATTGTTGCAGAAATGAGGCGATACAACCTAGAGGTGCTTGAGACCAGTGAAACACATTGAACGGAAGTTGGACAACAATGACTTGCTTCAGGGAAGCTTCTATTATACTCTGGCCATGAAGTAGAAAATGCCCCACATACACAAGGAGTTGCATTGATGCTATCAAAACAAGCACAAACAGCAATTATAGGATGCGAATCTCATGGACACAGGACTATCAAATACTCCCCCAAAACAAAGAAATAGGGCATTGCAATGAACGTCATACAATGCTATGAGCCTACCAACCATTACAATGAGGACGCTAAAGATCAATTCTACGATAAGCTGCAGTCAATCGTGGACAATCTAGACTTCGCAGATGATCTGGCCTTCCTATCGCAATCGCAACAACAAATGCAAGAGAAAACGACCAGTGTAGCAGCAGCCTCAGCAGCAGTAGGTCTCAATATACACAAAGGGAAAAGCAGGATTCTCCGATACAACACAGAATGCACCGATCCAGTCACAATTGACGGAGAAGATTTGGAAGATGTAAAAACCTTTACGATATGTAAGCAACATCATTGATGAACACGATGGATCTGATGCAGATGTGATGGCGCGGATCAGTAAAGCAAGAGCAGTATATTTACAACTGAAGAACATCTGGAACTCAAAGTAACTGTCAACCAACACCAAGGTCAGGATTTTCAATACAAATGTCAAGACAGTTCTACTGTATGGGGCGGAAACCTGGAGAACTACAAAAACCATCATCCAGAAAATACAGGTGTTTATTAACAGTTGTCTACGCAAAATACTTCAGATCCATTGGCCGGACACTATTAGCAACAACGTACTGTGGGAGAAACCAAACCAGATCCCAGCGGCGGAAGAAATCAGGAGGAAGCGCCGGAAGTAGATAGGACATACATTGATGAAAGCACTCAACTGCATCACAAGACAAGCCCTCACATGAAATCCTCAAGGCCAAAGGAGTAGTGGAAGACCGAAGAACACATTACGCTGGGAAATGGAAATAGACATGAAAAGGATGAAAAAAATTTGATAGAACTAGAAAGGAAGGCCCAGGATAGAGTGGGTTAGAGAATGCTGGTTGGCGGCCTATACTCCACTGCGAGTAACAGGCGTAGACAAGTAAATAAAAACAACGGCAAAATGTTTTTAATATGCTCGTCACTATTATTGTGTAAAAAGGCGGAGGTTTTTAATTTCAAATATGCTTGCTCATGTGTGCACATTTTAATTTTTTAATGTTCATTCTGCGAAAATCGGTTTGACGCTATCTCATGTTTACGAAACACATGTATGTAAATTTGTTTTTCCTTAATCGTCCGTTTTGTGTCTTTGCGCATATGCAAGTGTGATTTGACGCGCAACTATGTATCTTATCTTTTGCTTTCCAGGACGGCTAGAAAACATAAAAAACCGACGGTATGCGATGAATCGAAATTTTTATCATACTTGCTTTCCATTACTATATTGGGCCACATGGCACCTCATAGTAAGGGAAAGA